GTGAGTAGGAGACAGGGAGCGGCTACGGCTACTGCGGGACAGCCACGCCGCTGGGCTAAGCTACTGGCCGGCTCCAGCCCTCTCACTTACGCGGCCCTGCTGCGGCCATCTCCCGAGCTCGGCCGAGGAGACGTCACCGCAGGAGCAGCTCTGAGACAGCTTCTCGAAGAGTGTCTCCTGAAAGATGTCCAGCAAGGACCAACCGTGCTTGTCAGCCGCCCGCCCCAGGCTCTTGGGCAGAGAGAAGAGGAGCTGTGAGTGTGGGAGGAGCAGGCGCCGGTACCGGGGAGCCGTGGCTGGATGGCTGGAGAGGAGCTGCCCACCCCCGTGCCCGAGCCCTGCCACCCTCTGGGACGTAGCCTGGGCACATCCCTGTGCGGACCCCTCCAAGGGCCACCTCTCCTGAGCTGCCCTGCCCAACACCACACTTACGTAGAAAGCCTGTTCCCGCAAGGACGGCGTGTCAGGCGGGCTCTGGTTGTAAGTGGAGAACCTCTTGTTCACCGTGGAGGCCTTGTTGACGGTGCTGGCTGCTGAGGGCTGGTCGTCCTTGTCGAAGGGGCTGGGGAGGAGAGCAGGGAGGTGAGGGGTGTGTGCCAGCCTGGGGGGGTCTCAACCCTACTCTGCAGCAAGCAGGACACCAGGACCCCATCCAGTCCAGCTCTGGGTTTCCATAATTGCAGCCCAGTTTTGGGATGGGAGAGAGCCTGGGGCAGGCCACCTCTTGCCACGCCATGCCGGGCATCCCCAGCCCTGCCATGTGCTACCAGCAATGCCTGCTGAGATACTCACTTCCAGGTCACCTCCAGGCTGAGTTTGAGGGTGCCCAAGTCGTTGATATCCACAGCCACTACCTGGGGCAGAGCCGCAAAGAGGTCCTTGGTCTCGCAGGACACATTGCCCACCACAACGTGGTTGGCCAGGCTCTTTAGCTCTGTCACCTGGAGGAGAGGGAGAAGAAGATGAGGTGAAGCCACGGGCTTCATCTTATCCATGCTGGTTGCATCCACGCTGTGTGCCAGGATGCCACCACCACCAGGCGGCCTCCTCCCACCCCAGTGAGAGTGAGGTCTAGGTGAGGTCCTGGAGGGAAGCCCTGCCAGGATGCAGGGTGGTAGCTGGCCCACACCATCCCTGCCCCCTTCTGCACTGTACCTTGATGGAGAGGAACTCGGTGACAAGGGGCAAGAAAACCATTTCCTCGCTGTCCCACACCTGCTTGCTGTTCACCTCGATGCGCCCCCGCAGTTTCCACCGCTGCCGTCCGTACTTCATGAAGATCTGGGGATGCAGAGACGTGGGCGTGGGGTAGATACAAGTGCTGGGGTGGTGGGTGCTCTCTGTGCGTCCCCGGGCATGGCCAGGGACCTCTGCCACCCTTCACTGCCCTGCAACGTGCCCTCCACACCAGCGCCCACCTACGCCCCGCAGGCACCCCAAGGGCAGAAGAGCAGATCCCAAACCATACGGTCCCACCAACCTCATACTGGTCACCAGCACAGAGCCGGGCAAAGCCTGCCAGTCCTGCAAGAGAAGGCAGAGGGGCGTCAGCAGGCAGCAGGCAGGCAGGCAGCGGGCCAGGGACGGAGCGAGACGTGTTACCTTTCATCCGGACATGGAACTCGCCCAGCTGGCTCTCCAGCTCGTTCTCCAACAGACACATGTTCTGGGGACAGGCTGCCAGCACCCATCAGCAGCCACTCATGGGACCCAGCACTTTGCCAGCCCACCCCATCCAGCTGTCTCACCTCTGTGTACTCCTTGTAGCCCTTGCTGGCCTCGGCCAGGCTCTCGCGTGCCTCCCGGCTGCCCGGCGAGCGCCTTGACCATGTTGTGGGCTCCATCGCGGAGCCGCCGTTGGATGCAATAAGCCTCGTAGAGCTCATCTATCTGCAAGGACAGGCCCGAGCTGCAGTGAGGGGCAGGGTGGGGGACAGCCCGGCATCCCAGCGCTGCCCCGACGTTGTCCCAAGGTGACCCCAGTCCCCAGCTCTCACCTTGCTAGCATGAAACTCCAGGCGACGCAGGAAGCGCTCGATTGACTTCACTTGCTGGAAGAGCAGAGGAGACAGCGTGAGCGGCAGCCCAACCCCTCCGCAAAGGAGCCGCAGGTCAGGATGTGCCCGACTGCGTGCCCATGCTGCGGCTGGGACGGGTCCTGGTCACCAGCCCTGCCTGGGAGGTGCAGGGTGGCAGCCGACGGTGAGCGGAGCAGAGGCTGCGCTTGCATCCACGTGCTGCAGCATCCTCCAGCCTCCCCTGCGCCGGAGGGTCCCCCAGGAGACAAGCCAGGCTCCAGGGTGCTCTTCTCCCAGCCTCAGAGCTAATCCAGGCTCAGCACTCACCAGCAACAGCTTTTGTTTGCAAGAAGGGGGTTACAAGCCCCTGCCTGTCTCTGCTTCATCCCCTGCCTAGACCCACACTGCCCGCAGAGCCCTGATCCCACCCCACAGGGACTCTGCCGGGCAGGGGACCGGGGGCAGGCAGCGGGGCAGTGCAAGCGGAGAGGGGCTGGCGGTAGCACATCCCAGGCGCTAGGAAGGGGGAGACAAGGGGGATGGGGCACTGATCCCGCTTACCTTATCCAGATCGTAGAGAAAGCCCTGGAGGAGAGAGGAGAGCGATAAGACGCAGCACAAAGCCAGCTCTGCCCACCCAAGGAGACCCAGCACATCGCACCCACCACCCATAGCATGTCGGCAGGGATATGCAGCACCCAGCCAGGGCTGGAGGGTGCATGACAGTAGGACAGGCGCCCCATGCAGCCCAACACCAGAGCCCAGGCTGGCCCCTGACATCCCCACAGAAGTAGGCTCTGCCCCGGGACACAGATGGCCCACGAGCTGCCCCAGCCGTGCCCACAACCCCGGCTGTCCGCCCAAAGCACCGCTCCCCGTAAGGCTCTTCCCAAGCGATACTCACCAGGCGTGAATTCCTCTTGGACTCGCGGATCTGGGTGCTGAGCTTCTCCAGTTCCAGCTGGTGTACCTCCAGGTAGGCTCTGGGAGCAACCACACCACGGGGGTCAGGCTGGGACACCGTGTCCAGAACTCCTGCCACCCACAGACCACACCAACCCAAGCACATCTGGCCCTGCATCCCCACTTCCCGCTCCAGCACCAAGGTGACGGAGCCCACTTGTGCCTCTACACAGAACATGGTGGGATACGGGACCCCACGCAGCTCCGGGACGCCCAGGCACTACGCCCAGGAGACCTGGTATGTCCCTGCCTGGTGAGAGCAGAGAGCTGCCGACCCCAACCCATGGCAAGCTGTCCCTGTGCCCCTCAGGGGCTCCCTGCTTCCAACCACCCGGCCACGGGGAGCCCCAGCACTTACGTCAGGCCCTTCTTGAGAGCTTCGTACACCTCGTCCAGGCGGTTGGGCTGAGGCACCTTGGGTGGTGGGGACTTGTGGGACATTGAGAACATCCTACTGACCCTGGAGCCAGTCTTGCGGGAGACGGTGG